TACACTCTGTGGGAGAATCCATTCCTCACACCTTTTTTTCCCCCATGGAAAATTATGCCTTTGGTGTGTGTAATAATCAAAATAAATATGCATTCTTCAAGACCTCTGTGAAAATGCCACCATTGTGGCTACTACAGTCCAAGAACATTAATGTTTTAACAAAATAGATTGTTCTTTTAATAAGGTTATTAAAATAATGGTAATAATAATTTAGAGCAGTTGAAGAACTGTGAATAGTGGAGCGTTAATTGGATTACCAGTATTTATAAAGGACACTTGATAATGGCACTACATGCATGTATCATGTGAATAGAGAATACACTTTATGTGGGCTTCAGGGATAAATTAAACTCAGATTGCCAGGCTTGCATGGTAACTTCCTTGTCTCACTGAGACAGACCTCTTTTTATTGTTTGCAGGTTATCTTTTTTTTTAACCCACAATCTACCTGTATCATTATTTTGAAGTGAGTGTGTTATAGACAGTATATAACTGAATTGTTCTTTGGAAATTCATTATACAAGTCTCTCTTTAGTTGTCTTTGAATTATTTATCTTTCTTTTAATTTGAGGGCTGAAAGAATGGTTCAGCAGTTACGAGCACTGGATGCTTTTCCAGAGGACCAGGGTTCCATCCTCAGCACCCACACTGCAGCTAATAACCATCTTTAACTCTAGTCCCAGATACACTGCATGCATGTGGTACACAGACATAGAAGTAGGCAAAAACATCCATACACATGAAATAATAAAATACAATATTTCTAATTATGTATATGTGTATTTGGGTGGGTTTCACATGTTACTTGAATGCATGTGCCCAGGGAGGCCAGAGAGAACATTGGAACTGTAGTTACAAGCAGTTGTGAGCCACAAGTGAATCAAGGTCCTCTACAAGAGTAATTAGCTGTCTTAACCACTAAGACATCTCTCTAGTCCCACATTATCTACATAGATAGAATAAATAAATAAATACATAAATAAATAAAATTATTTATATGTAAAAAATGCATCTGCCTTTTAACTTTATATATCCTGTTTATTTTCTGTTTGGGAGTTTGTTTTGTTTTCTTGCTTCTTTTTTTCCTTTTAACCCACCTTTCTTGGATGAACTAAACATGTTTTAGCATTTAATTTTTCTTTACTTTTAATACCTTTGAGCACATCTCTATGCATAATATTTTGGTGATTGCTTTCAGAAATACATTATATATACAGAATTGCTCAGTATCTTCTAACATTACACCACCAGCTTTGGTGTAATATATTAGCTATTTTATTTCCCTTTAAATTCACCTTTTCATAAAACACCATACATATTCCTGCTCATACACTGAGATTATGTTATAATTGTGTTATAAAATTTACTTCAAGATGTCTGATAGGAAAGAAAAGGACCAGGGGATAGGGGACAAGAGAGGGTATAGGGGTCCATATGATTAAAGTGCATTATATACATATGTGAAATGTCACTGTAAATTTTATACATTAATATACAATAATAAAAAATAAAATAAATTTCCCTCAATCAACAAACATAATTAAGAAAACTCAAAAGAAAAAGTAAAGTCAAATCTATTATGTTTTTGCTTACTAAGTTTGTACTTCCTGGTGTTACAAAGTTTTTTCCTTCTATTTGAAATGTTTTTGTCATTCTTTCACAGTACATTTGCTGATAGTTCCAACATCTGAGAGTGTCTTCAATTATAAAGTACAATATTTTCACTGCACATAGCATTCTACTCTGGCAGTTCTTTTCCTTCAATACTTGAAAATGTTGTTACTCTTTCCACTAGGACCTTGACAGTTTTCTCTTGGGGAATTTGCCATGCTAATTTTCCCCCTCACAGATATAATTAGGGGATTAGTTCTTGTCACTTGCCTTCCTTTCAAGATTTTTTTCTTTCTTCTTCTTTTTCTGAAGACTGGTTATCATATGAAGGTTTCTTTTTGTTCATTCTATTAGTGTTTGATTAGCTTTTTGAACCTAGAGGTGGTTTTTCCTTAGTTTGAGACAATATTAGTCCTTATTTCTCTTCCAGTTCTTCATTCTGTCCTGTGTCTCTCCTGTGAGAATTTTTAAAGTTTATTTATAATCTCACAGTGATTTCTCTTGCTTTAGATTTAAGCTGACTCATGTTTTTCTGTCTGTTCCATCTTACTGTTGAACCTATTTGTTAAATTTTTAGGTTGTTCTAAAGAACAACCATCTTCTTCAGGGTTTTTGTTGTTCTTGCTGTCTGTATTCATCTATTTGCTTTGATTTTACATTTTTTTAACTTAAGGGAGAGTTTATTTGGGCTTTTGGTTTCAGAAGAAGTCCATAATAGCAGGAGAGATATGGCAGCAGGCAGCAAGAACAGGAAGGTAAGAAGTATTTTAACCTCAAACAGGAAGGAGAGAGAGCAAATTGGTAGTGCCCACTCCCTGAACCTGCTACTCCCAGCAAAACATTCCCTCTAGCAAGGCTGCACTCTCTCTCCAAACAGCACCACTAATTGAGAACCAAGTATTCAAATACCTAGGCTTACTGGGGACATTCTGATTCAAACCAACACATTGTACATACTAGCTCTCATAGAACCATGACAATAATATAATGCAAATTGGCATGTACTCCAACTCCAAAAGTCTCTGTAGTGTTAACATTTTCAACACTGATTGTTATGCCAGGCATTGGTTGTGCACGCCTTTAATCCCAGCACTCGGGAGGCAGAGGCAGGCGGATCTCTGTGAGTTCGAGGCCAGCCTGGCCTCCAGAGTGAGTGCCAGGATAGGCTCCAAAGCTACACAGAGAAACCCTGTCTTGAAACACCAAAACCAAACCAAAACAAAACAAAACATTTTCAACACTGTTTAAAAGTCCACAGTTCTCTGCACTCTGGTTTTTGTATGTTTATATGCTCCCAGTGTTTGTAGGACCTACTGAGGGATTTTCATGATGTAAATTTTAAAACCCTTGTTAGATGATTCTAAATCTGTGGTTTATTAATAGTGGCATCTCTTCATTTTCTCATTCAAGTAGATTTTTTGGCATGGTGAGAAATTTTTCAATAAATTTGCATATTCTGCATCTTACTTTAATATTTTGTCTTAGTAGGCCTCCTTATACTCTCAACAGGAATCCCATTTTTACACTGAGTCTTTCTTGGCATCCAAGTGGTATGCCCATGTTATTAGAGTAAAACTTCAGCCTTCTTTCTAAATCTCCCCTTCTACTATTTAATGTGGTTAGGAATAGAAGTCATGGTTCCTAACTTAGAGTTCACTGAAAGGGATCTTTTTTCACTGGAGATTAATGACCTTAATCCAATCCAAAATAGTCCTTTTCTGCAGATAAGATATGCTCATTTACACACACACACACACACACACACACACACACACACACACACACACACACAATTTTTTAAGACAGGAATTAGCTGTGTAGCACTAGTTGTCCTGGAGTTCACTCTGTACACCACGGTGCCCTCGAACTCAGAAATCCATTTGCCTCTGCCGCCCAAGTGCTGGGATTAAAGGTGTGTGCCCCCACCACCTAGTTAAAACAAGCTTATTTTAAAGTCCACAAAGAGTAGAAGACTGGAGCTAGAGGCTTTCTACTCAAAGGCCTAAGCTTTTCATTAGCTGCACTCTTAGCAGTCTCCTGCACCTAGGAGTCTCATTTCCTATCTCCACCTGTTTTTTTTTTTTTTTTTTTTTTTTTTTTTTTTTTTTTTTTGTAGAAAAAGACACCAATGACCCTTCAATGGGAAACAGAAGAACAGAGCCTTTGTAGGCAGACTCCATTCCTGGCAAGCTGTGGCATTGTTAAGCTTTGTGAATATGAGAACTCACTCAGATTCTCCAAGCCTCCATTTTTCCACTTATGACAAGGATCATAGGACACTTGCCAAAATGGTTTGGGGGGCAGAGCTGGCATCCCAGGGGCTCAATAAATGATAATCTCCCATGCTTTGCAAAAGGAAAGACACAATCCCTCCAAGAGGAAGAAGAAACTAAGATTCTTCACTACCACTACTATGTGGAGATCCCATATACATACCCCAGAGGTTAAATCTCTTGTCAAATTTGTCAGAGTTAAATCTCATGACCTAATTTCTTTAAAAAGATATGCTCTGTGTCTCTTTTTCTTTCTTTCTCCATATATTTGAAAAACACTCCAGATGCAGGGACTTAGGCAGAGCAGGGGAGGCCCACATAGTTAGCCCTTGAGATACTACTGCTTTATGGGCTGGAATCTCACTGCAGTATCAAAACTTGCTTGGAGAGATGTGACAATTCCCAGTTTGCCAGACCTCCAGCTCTTGTTCACATTCCCATAGCTTGCAACCTCCTTCCAACCTCAGGATAGGAAAAAAGTGCAAGAGTTTCAGGAAAACAAAAGCAGCCCCCTCCCGAGGTTGGTCTGCATCCACAGCCAATAGTCACAGCAAAGTTGCAAACTGAATGGCCAGGCCAGCTGAACTTGGCTCTCAAAAGGCTTTCCCAAGTTCTGGGTCATGAAGTTGAATGCAAAATCATCAACTTTTATAAAGCAAAAGCGAAAAAAAGACTTATACTAAACAGTTTTTTTTTTTTTTAATGTGTCTGTGAATGCCAGATTTCGTCTCCATACCAAAAAGCTGGTGACCAGTCCCTGATGTCTCCCTCTATTCTATCTCGGCTAGATCTGGAAAGACATCGTCATCTCCCCCTCCTACCCTCCGCACCACACACACACACACACACACACACACACACACACGCACGCACGCACACACACTTGCACCAACTACCTCCTCTAGACTCGATTTCAACTGACCTTTGCCCCCTCATTCTTCACCTGATCTTTAAAACTGTGATGAATGGGCCCCTTTCCCGCTCCTCTTTGCAAGTAGCTCAACAATAGATAGTTTCTACAGAAAAACAGTTCTCTTTGCACCCAGGGATGCCCGGGTAGGGAGCGGGTAATCACGGAGGGTGGATGGATGCTGCATTATGCAGCGAAGAGCTTACCTGATCTCTTTAATGCTTTCCAGTTTGCACATGATTTCTTGTTCATCTGCCATGCTTTTCACTCTCAATTTCACGTCCAGAGAATTGTAAAAATGCACCAGCCAAGGGATACAATAGATACAATACAGCCACCTCCTACTGGTTTGTGGCTTTGAGCCTGTGTGGTAGGAGCTTAGGAAGGCCTGGGAGCTGTAGTCCACAGTTCCAGGACCGACCAGGCAACCCGAGTGCCACTAGAACTACAACTCCCAGAAGGCCAAGCGAAACATTCCTGTTCCCTTTCCTGTAGCGGCACTTTAAATCAATATGTCACAGATAATTATGTCAAGATTATGAGGAGTGCAAGGGAATGAAGATGTTTGTCCTAACAGTGTGCAGCAAAATGGGGTAAATCTCGAAAGCACTTAGGAAGATGAAAAACATACCTTTTATCACGAGCCCCAGGCCTCATGCCTATGCTCCCCAATAGGTTAGGGATTCTTTTATTACGGAATACTGTGGGCTGGAGAGAAACTAACTGTAAGTGATTTAGCCTCCAAAATGTCAAGTACTCTAGCAGCTTAGGGACTGACATTGAAATGTAAATAGAGTGGAGCTGAAAATACCCGGGCGGGGAAAGAGGAGGACAAGAGAAAGGGGACTCTTCAAAACAAAACAAAGCAAAACAAAACAAAACAAAACAGGAAACTGGGTTTGTTGAGAGGACCTCTTTCCTTCTGATTCCCCATGACTGAGTTTATAGTTTACCAGTCAATGTAAAGTGTACTGAGGGGGGCACTGAAGAGTCAAAGAAAATAAAAGCAAGTTCTTGTTTTGAAAAAGAGAGGGTGAATATACTATATTATACAGTGTACAATGAGCTGTCAAAATGCAGACATACAGAGGTGAAACCTGAACAGATAAGATGTAAATATGTTTTTAAAACCAAGACTTTTCCAGAGAAGAGTGAGATATCCAGGAAGCAATAGTCTACATAGAAAATGAAAAAGGCAAGTGGTCCAGAGAACCTGGAGTATAAGGTTTTTGGAGTGGTACGTTAGAAAGAAGAGTGGAAGATGTATCTAGAAAAGATAGGTTGTAGACACATTTTTTAAAATATTTTTTAAATTTTTTCCTTGGCTATTTTATACTTATTATACAATGTATTTTGATCAAATCCACTCCCCATTTGCTATCCTGCCACTCCTCCCAGAACCATCTCCCTCCTATAGTCATGTATTCTTTTTAAAACCACCAATTTGTGCTAGCAATGTGTGCATGAGTGTAGGGCCATCCCACCGAAGAATGGGCAACCAACCATGGTCAGCATCTCTGAAGAAAACTGAAGCTCCTTCCCCAGCAGCTAGATTTTGAAATACTTTGGAGTGTCAGACTAGAGTTTAGAATTATTCCTATAGGCACACATTTATTCAGTATGTATTTATTATGTGCTTACTGTGTGTAATTATATTTAGAATCTATATCAATTTTTGGTGCTTGGAACTTAACTCAGGGCCTTATGCATTCTTAGTAAGCAGTCCATGACTAAGCTATACCCACAACTCCTAAAATAATTTAAAAGCACTGGAGTGATAAAATTGGAAGTAACAGAAAAAGTAAAATGTAGAATTAAAGGAAATGAGAGCTAGTAAGAGGGAGGCCTTAGTTATCCAAAGAAGTTGGATAGACATGGAAGTCAGGCTTCAGAAAAATGTCACAGATGAGCTAACAGACTCACTTCCCCACTGTCACTCCCAGCTGCCTGTTGAGGTACCCTAATCTTTGAGGGACCTAGCCCCATACCAAACTGGGATTCACGGCTTCCACTGAGATAGAGGAATTTCAGGAAGCAGAATTGGAGATTTAATTAAAGATATTGTGGTGGCTTCCATAGGCACTTATATTTGAATGTTTGGTCATTGGGGGATTAGGAGGTGAGGCCTTGTTGGAGTAGGTGTGCCTAGTTGGAGGAAGTTTGATAGTGAGGTTTGGCTTTGGGGTTTGAAATATTCAAGTCATGCCCAATCTCTCTCTCTGTCTCTGTCTCTGTCTCTCTCTCTCTCTTCCTGCTGCCTGCAGATCAAGTTGTAGAACTCTCAGATAACTCTCCAGCACCATGTCCACCTGTGTACTACCATGCTTGCCACCACTGACAATAATGGACTAAACCTCTGAACTGTAAGTCAGCCCCAACTAAATGATTTCCTTTATAAGAGTTATTGTCAAGGGCCTAGGACTGGCCCAGGATGATGTGGTAGACTTTGGGGAGCCCCTTTTGAGGGCCTTAGCCTGCCTGGGGAGTGGAGGGGTATGGCTAGGGGCAGGGGGGATGTTGGGGGGGGGGGGGGGAGGGGGGGAAGGGATTGACATCTGAAGAAAGCTTGTTCCTAATTTGAACTAATAAAATAAAAAAAGAGTTATTGTCATGGTGTGTCTTATAAAAGTTGTTTTGTCATGGCGTCTCTTATAAGAGTTGTTGTGGCTATGGTGTCTCTTCCATAGCAATAGAACATTGACTAAGACAGATATTAAGGGAAAGGGTCCTCAAGAAGAGACCTACAGTACATCTAAGAACAAGGATATGGGATCCTCTAAAGGAAAGTCACAGAAAGTGAGATATCCCCTAATATATGCATGGGTTCCTTAAGAGAGTCACGATTAGTTTTAGCGTTAGCCACAAATAACATTTTGGTGGTTCTCAGACAATATCACAAAAGGTTGCTAAGAGATCTTTTGTTTTCTGTTTTCCATAAGTGAGATAAGTGGCTTCTCAGATGCCTTGGTTGGAGCTATATATAATCTGATAAAGTAATAATGAGCCATTGTGTTTTGCACAAGGAGTTCAGTATGTGTTGTTTGCCTATAAATAGAATTCCTGGGGAAATTGCAAGTTTATAGCTGTTGAGAGAGAAGATCCTTGAGCAGGTACTAATTGTGCTGGAATTTTTGGTTCTGTGTTGGTGATGGAATTCAACCAGACTCCAGGGTGACTCTTCCAGTGAGAGAGAAAGAAAGGGTGTGAATGTAGGTGGATAGGGAGGTGGATCTGGGAAGAATTGGGGTGCTGGAAACTGATCAGAATATAATGTATGAAAAATACTTTTGATAAAAATATTTAAAACAAAATCAAATAGGTTTCAGGCCAGGCGTTCATTGGTGGTGCACGCCTTTAATCCCAGCACTCGGGAGGCAGAAGCAGGCAGATCTCTGTGAGTTCGAGGCCAGCCTGGTCTCCAGAGCAAGTGCCAGGATAGGCTCCAAAGCTTCACAGAGAAACCCTGTCTCGAAAAACAAAACAAAAAAAATCAAATAGGTTTCTGGGTGAACCTTTTGGTAGTTTGAATAAAAATGATCCCATAGGCCCAAAGGGAGTGGCACTATTAGTGTGGCCTTGTTAGAGTAGGAATAGCTTTGTGGGAGGAAATGTGTCACTGAGGGTGATTTGAGATCTCAGATGTTCAAGCCAGGACCAGTGTGGCATTTTCTTCCTGCTGCCTGCAGATCCAGGTGTACAACTCTCAGCTCCTTCCCCAGCACCATGTCTGCCTGCATGTCACGTTTCCTACCATGATGATAATGGACTAAACCTCTGAAACTATAAGCCAGCCCCAATTAAATATTTTCTTTATAAGAGTTGCTGTGGTCATGGTGTCTCTTCACAGCAATAGAAACCCTACTTTGCACAAACATAAAGTACTTTTCAATATGAGATAATACAATTTGGGGAAAGAAGTGGTTGTTGTATATGGAGATAAGTAGAAGGAGTTTAGGAGTGGACTTTGAAGGGCTTTTCTTGGTTTTGTTCATTTGTTTGTTAATTTTGCTGGGCTAGTAATGGAACTCGATGTTTCTGCACAATTAACATTGCTTTACCAATGAAACTACATAGCAGGTCTAAATTTTATGCTTTTAAAATAAACGTATCCATTCTTTTAAAAATTGGCTGTTATAAAGGTCTAGGCCCTGCTCCAAATGATAGACTCTGAAGATTCCCCATGGAAGACCTCACCCTCCCTGGGGAACAGATAGGGGTTGGGATAGGGAATGGGGGACAGGGGAGGAGGGGAGGGAGAAGGAACTGGGATTGGCATGTAAAAGAAGCTTGTTTCTAATTTAAAATTGGTCTAATTACAATTATAAAAATTAAAAAAAAAATGGCTGTTACTACTCTAGGTGGTGGTGTGAACCTGGGAGAATGGGGCCAAAAAAAATGAGGTGGACTAAAGTCTCATGCAATAACCAACTTTATTCAGAGCATCAGACAATTTATATTCTTGGGGTATTCTGAGGGTTAAGCAAGGTCTTGAGCAAAGTTCACATAAGTTTAGGCTGTATACAGTCACAAGCACAACCCATGCTTGAAAACATTTTTGAATAACAAAAGTAAGATGATAGGTAATCTGAAGCAAAGCCCACTCCTGGTATGGGCACTAAAGCACATTCCAAGAATAACCCATGTTATGCAGAAACAGAGGTTACAAGTCTCTTGTCTTCAGCAATAGGACCTTATCATCAGGTTGTAGAAGGTAACCAATAGTATTTGCAATAGCCTGTAATTTCTTTTACCTTATCATCAGGTTGTAGAAGGTAACCAATAGTATTTGCAATAGCCTGTAATTTTTTTTGGGGGGGGGGCGGTTGGTTCTATGAGACTATTTTGTCCAATGACTCAACATGTAACCCACTCCTAGCACTGGAGTTTTTACTTGGTAGCATAAGATTTCCAGCTGGGAAGTCTTCCACATGATATGGTAACAGCATTTAAATTCCTTTCATGTATGTATGTATTTCAGGAAGCTTCCACGGTAGCATGTTTCCACAGTAGTATGTCTCCATATGGCTTTTCAAAAGAGTTTTAGTGGTAGTTATCCTCACATAGTCCCTCCTTTACCTTCCCTCCCACCCTACCCCCACTTAATCCTCCTGTTCTAATTTCCCCTTCTATATTCAATTTCCCACTCTTTTCGAAATTCCTTTCCTCCCTACCACAACCCATTCCCCAGTCTCTTACAAGATATTTAAACTCTGTAGTTAATTCTAATTGAAGCACACATATTTAAAGCTTAAAAGACAACATCCACATATAAGGAAAAATGTAATATTCTCTTTCTGGGTGTGGGTTACATCACTCAATATATTATCTAGGTTCAACCCATTTACCTGCAAATTTCACAATTTTATTTCTCTTAACAGCTGAACAATATTCCGTTCTATAAATGTATCATATTTTCATTATCTAGTCATCAGT